ACCTACTAAGTAACCTATATATTTTATTCCACCAACACATTTCTCTCTCCTTCTATTCATCACTCATTAATATTTACACTATCTCTCCTCAAATTTCTCTCTCCTTATTAATATCTACACTCTCTCTCCTCCTAATTTTTCTTTCTTCTTCTTCTTCTTCTTCTTCTAATAATAATAATAATAATAATAATAATAACAACAACAACAACAATAATAATAATAATAATAATAATAATAATAATAATAATAATAATAATAATGATAATAATAATAATAATAATAATAATAATAATAATAATAATAATAATAATAATAATAATAATAATAATAATAATAATAATAATTATTATTATTATTATTATTATTATTATTATTATTATTATTATTATTATTATTTATTGTAGAAGTAGTAATAATAGTAATAATGGTAATAGTAATAATAATACTAATAAATAATAAAATAATAATAATTATAATAATATAAGAATATAAACAATAATAATAATAATAACAAAAATAATAATACTGAAAAAAATTTAAATATAATAATAATAATAATAATAATAATAATAATAATAATAATAATAATAATAATAATAATAAAATTAATAATAATAATAATAATAATCATAATAATATTGTTATTAAAAATAATATTCATTGTAAAAGTAGTAATAATAATACTAATAAATAATAAAATAATAATACTTATAATAATATAAGAATATAAACAATAATAATCATAATAATAGAAAAAACTAATAATAATAATAATAATAATAATAATAATAATAATAATAATAATAATAATAATAATCATCATCACTATCATCATCCTCAATCATTATATTCTACTTTTTCACGTACTTTCGTAGAGAAAATTCAACACAACCAAACATATTCTCATTTCTACACCTACATAGAACTAAAGATACCCCTTCATCCAAACATATTCCCATTTTCTACACAAAAACCAATAAACTATTTTTTCCATTAGAAATTTTGAAAACTATAAATTGTCATTGAAAACATAACCAAACATCCCCTTTGACTCCATAAACAAGTTGAATATGCCATGAATTAATGATGCAGTTTATTCAACTTTTAAGACCATTGAAATGCCAATAAATAAAGACCAAACTACAATTAATAAAATGATTCCACCCCACTTTAAGGGGAAAGAAACAGTAGCTACCGGATATTTCTGAGAAGACCATCAAACTGGACTGCTTCATCGTGGCCGTTGGTTTTTTTCAGTTGAATACTTTGATTTGATTTCAAGCTTCATTTCGTTGACTGGTCAAATTACTTATTTCTGAGTATAACATTTGAGGGTCCTTATTACAATCATTCTTATTATGTCAAATTCAACATAAAAATGGTTGTAGTCATTCAAAAATGAGTATTTTTTCGTAATGTGATGTAGGCATAATTCCCATCCCCCCCACTTTTTTAATATTTATTTATCAAGATATATTATTGCAATCAAAATAGATGAAATCTCAAAACTGCAGCAAAATAAGATAAAAAAAGAAAAGATATAATGATTTTCTTAAGGGAAAAATACAGTTTTCATCTCTAAAAAAGTTGCACCAATTTCATATTTGGTCCTTCATGTTCACAAAAAATAAATTTGATCCCTCATATTTCAAAAAAATCAATACTTCAGTCATTTCCGTCACTTTTCATTAAAACTAACGGAATCAAACGTGTATCCATCATTACCGTAGCTGATGAACTAAGGGTAAATTGACTGACATGACCAAAAATGTCAAATTATTGAAACCCGAGGGACCAAATATATTTTATTTTAACATGAAGAAACCAAATGTGATATTAATGCAAATTTGAGGCATGAAAACTGTAAATTTCCCTTTTCTTAATTATAGCCAAACCCCAAAAGTTCATTACAATAACTAAATATTAAACAAGACCCAATTATTGAATTAATCACAACCAAAAGTTCATTACAAAACACACACACACACACACATCAAAGCTAAGCCATCTCCTTATCCAACTGCACAGTCGGCAGTTTACTGTAATGAACACTCCGACGCAACTCGATCTCCTCACCGTTCTGCACCTTACACTGCAAATACAAAACCGTATACGCCACATCGACAAATATCTTCCCCAAACACGAAACACCCACCGAAACAACACCGTACAACATCATCCTCGGAAACCCTTTATTATCACCTAAGAACACCATCTTCTTACAACCCCAAAACACAATCAAACCCACAACGTTAAAACAAACATTAATCAAGAAACCGCAAAACTTCTTCCCCTTGACCAAATTCTCACCTCTAACCAAAGCCTCGAAACCGTAACAACCCTCTTCCAGAACCGAAGCCACAACCGCCATGAACCACGAAACGAGCAAGTACAAGTACAAAAACACCGCAAGAATCGCAACCGAAATCGCCAGCCAATAGGTTATAACACTAGGGTACACAAATAGAAGGGCGGCCAACGTAATAACGAATAAACAATAGCCCACTGCAAGAGCCGATACGTATAGAACAGTTACCATAGGCCCTCTCCATATATTCAAGACTATCGAGAAAACCTCGTTTAGAGACGATTTCTTCGAGGTGTACGACACGGAAGATACTAGAATAGTTGAAATGGAAGTGAAGGATGAGATTACGACGAGGGTGAAGAGAAAAGGGATTTGAATTGCGAGAAGACGAGCGAAGTATTCTCTCGTAAGCATATTCATTTTGTCGGCGAGTAAGAGTGCATCTTCGGGTTTAATAGGGTTTGGATCGGTCGCATTGAAAGAAGCGAGATCGGGCATGAACGTTTTCATGATATTATTAGTATAATCTGTTATCACATATTGCGTCGAGTAACTGAATAACAAGAATATAGTAGACGAGAGAGCTAGTGAAGAGATAGCTACGAAGGCCATGAGTTTCCCGTTTCTTGGGATGAGTTTGATCGATTCATTTAGAATCGTCAAGAAACTAGTAAATGATTTCAAGAACTCCATTGCACCTTCAAAATACAGAGCAATAGACAAATATTAAAAATGTGTAATTACTAATGAATTGGAGTAATCTACTTATAATATCTAATCGGTTTGAAATGGTCCGTATGTCTATATCAATCATTAAATCAAAGACTTTTCCTTCGACGGAAAAGTACTCATACTACGACTAGTATATATAAAGAGTACAAAACATTATTTATGGGCCCGTCCCTAATTTGTTTCTAAAAATTGGGGGCCCGAGTGACTCGCCTATAATCGGAACTGGCCCTGATAATATCTAGCCGTGTTTAGATAGATCCATACATATCTACGTATACGTGTGAATCGAAAGTGTAAAACTACTTATATACTTCACTAGGTGGAGCATCTACGGGACCGTATATATTGACGTTTATAATCATATAAAACGAGTTGAATATGTCATGAATTAATTGGACAAATTCAAAATTAAGACCATTGAAATTGTATTTGTCAATTAATATACATGTCTGTAAGTTGATCTTATCCACAAGGAATTTCCGAAAATACCCTTAAAACAAAAGGAGAAAAAATATCTCTAACATCATCTTCAGATACATGATCATCATCTCAAAAAGAGGATATATTTACATACATTAAAATAAAAATAAAAAGAAAAAGAAAAATAGAAGAATACAAATATTCAAGACTTAAAAAAATTATTCCATCTGAATAAACGGAATATTCTTCAAATTAACGGTCAATAAGAAGTGCCCTGCTCGAAATTGACAACCCAGAGCCTCTTCCATTGATCGTCACCGTTGATTCTCGAACCGGGTGAACCGGCAGGATCCGGGTCGACCCGGGTTCGACAAACGGGGCAAGTGGGCTTCTTCCTAATCCATCTATCGACGCACTTCGCGTGGAACACGTGCTTGCAAACCGGAATATTCCTACACGCCTCTCCTTCCCGGAAGGAATCCAAGCAGATCGCACAATCCGATGTCCTCGGGAAAGCCGCGGCGGTGTACGCCACGTCGGGGAGAAGGGGGTGGACGGGCGGCGGCGGCGATTCGGCGGGGTTGGTGGTGGGTTGGAGGAGGCGGGTGCAGCGGCGGTGGAAGGTGTTGGACATGAAGAGGAAGTGGAGGAGGACGACGGCGGCGAAGCCAAGGAAGAAGAGGAAGAGGGACATCACCACAAGCATTATCACGCATTTGAGAAAGAAGAGGAGGAGATTCCTCTGGCTTCGGCTGAGGTTTTGCGGCGGAGCACGGCGGTGGATTTCTTCGGCGAAAGTTGGCATGTGGGGATTTTTTTTTTTTTTTTTTTTGGGTGAATGATTATTGGATGAATTAATTCGGGTTGGGGACAAAAGATAAGAGGCGGAGGGGGGCGTAGTTTTTTGTCGGTTTGAGAGTCACCTTAAACAGCACACAGATTTTTGCCCAAAATGTACACCGAATTTACCGGATTTTTTAACACTGGTTTATAAAAAGTCAAATCATTTTTAATCCTAAAAATTAAGAAAAAAATTGAGAAAAAAATCTCTCATGTTTAGCTAATTACAACCGCATCCCTCTACTATGTGCCGTTTTACAAGTTCATTCCTATGGTGTCGAATTTACCAACTGAACGAGGAGTTTTGTTATAAGAAAATCCATAAATGAGTGACGTAATTGTAATTACTCCCTCCGTCCCAATTTAAATGACGTTTTGGGTTGTTTCACACATATTAAGAAAATTAATAAATAGGTATAAATTATAGTAAAAAACATAGGAAAATACTAATATATCATTGACATTAATTGTTTTACAACTAACTAATTAAGAGTTATAAAGGCTAAAATTGAAAATAGTGCAATTAATGATGCATTGAAAATCTAAAATGACAAATAATTTGGGACAATAAAAAATATCTAAAAAGACATATAATATGGGACAGAGGGAATACTAATTATTCAAATATTAACATTTTATTTTTATAATTTAACTTTATCTCGGTAGATGACTATGATTTGAGCATTGGGTTTTGAACTAATTGCAATCATTTGATTTGGCTTGGGCCTGTATTTGGTTTATTGGTTTTATCTATCCTACACCCGGTGAAGGTTACATCGGGTGATTTTTTATCATTGATCTACACATACCAATGTGGGTGTGTGTGTTTGTATGTAAAGAAATGGTAAAGATCTACCCGGTGTATTTCACCCGGTGTAGGATCTCAAAAGCATTGGTTTCTTAGCTTAGGAAAAATTATCCAGCTACATATTCAATGTGGGCCATTCTATTTTCATGACAATTGGCTTCTTTGGGATCGGATTGGTATTTTTTTTTAAATTACAACCACCAATGAGATAAAATCTATTTAAAAAAAACCTTTTATATCTTCATAATTTCATTCATTCTTCTACAATTTATAAATTCCTTATATTAACACCATATTGTAGGGGAAGATGTAAGAAATTTACAAACTAAAGGGGGTTGGATGTAATTTCTCAAAAAAAGGGGTTCTCTTTTGTAATTATACTTTACTTCAGGGAGGTGACGGTAATTAACTATCTTTTTTTATATTTACAGTTTGGAAGAAGTTTTGGCCCCTTGAAAAAACCCGTTTTACACCGAAAACTCGTACAAATTGCAAGTGAGTGACACGCCACTCGTAAGTGGTCCGTTTGACTTCGATTTTAATCATTGGGGCATTTATAGTAATTAAAAAAAGTAAGAGGATCTCTTCTTACAATTACACTAAACAAAAGAACAATGAATGCAATATTTTGATTATAACTACGTAAAATTTTGACTGTCCAATAAAAGGACATGTCACAAATCCTCTCACAAAAAAAAATAATAATTTCAAACAAAATAAAAGAATAAAACAATTTAAACATTGCTTGTAAAAGATGATTCAACAACCTTGTCTTGCCTTCCTATAAGCCATTGAAGTGTTCTCCTCCCAAAAGACGGAGCTTCGCAATCCGAATCCAATCGATTTTCTCCGTTCGACTCACTTTGATCAGCCGTCGGATTCCGTCGCATTGGGAATCGGGACGAAAACGCCCTTCTTGACAACTCCACTAACGCCGCGTTTGGCTTATCCCTTTTCCCCCTCAACCAAATTTTCGACACCGAGAAACTTTCCCTCTTACACTTCGTAACGAACTTGCCACTACCATCATCATCACCACTACGGATTTCAAGAATCTTGAACGCTTCGACGCCATTGAACTCCCTCCTTGAATCGGACCCACACTCGGACAATGCGGTCCTGTGATTCGATCCCAGTGGCAAACGCGGTAATTTCCTCTTCTTCATAGGGGTTGTTCTAATCGGAACTTTCAAACACGAGTTATCCTCCATTACGTAAGCGAAAGACCCCATTGAAAAACACCTTCTTTCAGCAGAAACACTACTTTCAGTACCGCCGCCGCCGCCATTGCCGCCGCCATCATCAACAACAACACTCCTGTATTTCCCAAGCTTCACCGCCACAATTTCTCTCTCTCTAACTTCAATTTCAGTTTCGCCGGATCTTTCGGAAGCATCATCACCGTCGTCTCTGAAACTTCCGTTGCCGGATTCGAGAACCCTAACCACCGGACAAAAATTCGTGGCGTGCGAGAAATCAGGGGCTAAAATTGCTCTGCAAATTGGGCAGGTGGAGTGGGAAAGCAGCCACGTGTCGATGCAGTTCACGTGAAAGGCGTGGCTGCAATTGGGCAGCAGCCTGAGTTCGTCTTCCGGTTCGAATTCGGAGAGACAAACTGCGCAATCGAAGGGGTTTTTGGGGCCGATTAGGGCTTTGTAATTGAACAGTGGGAGTGTGTCGATGAATGATTGGTCGACGCCGGAGTCGTGGAGGTGGAAGAGGTGCTGCAATTGGCCTTGTAGGGCGGTGAATTCGTCGGTTTCGGCCGGAACCCTAATTTGAGGTCGGAGTAGGAATCTGACGAGGAGGTGGAGTAGGCCGGAGATGAAGAAGATGATTGCGAGTATTATTATGATTAGGAGTACGCTTGGGTTTGCGCCGTGGTTCGAATTGAAAGTGTGGGATTGTGAATGCGGCGGCGGAGGTGGTGGCGACGGCGGCGGCAGCCGCGGTGGTGGTGGTGGTGGAGGTGACTGAGGAAAGCTTCTATCTTTGATTTTGAGAAGAACCCAATCCATTTTTTTTTTGTTTTGTTTCTATTTGGGAAAAAGTTGGGGGAAAAGGAGTGATCAAGATTGGATATTTATACTAAAGATCACATTTTTACCCAAGGGGGGGAAATATTGGCTCAAGCAAGTGAGATTTAAAAATGTCTTTTGATGAAGCTAGGTCAAGAAGTAGTAATTGAAATGCTAAATATAGTTTTAATTTTAGAGTAAATTACAACTACGTCAAGTTATGTCCAAATTCGAAAAAATCCTTCTTGCTTGGATAATTATATGAAAAATAGCTATTTTAAGTTGACTTTTTAATTCAACTTAAATCAACTGGATCGAATATCTGGTGGAAGAGTTATGTTTAAACAGTTGGAACTATATCGATAACATTGAAACGATGTTTAACAGCTCGGGTTTTGAATTTGGTGCAATAAATCTTGCAATTAAAGTACAATTACTATTGGACCTAATTTGCCTAGAAAATGGCACTAAAAAGTAATGCAATACTATAACAAAATGGTGTACTTTATGATTCATAAAAAAAAAATGCTGCCTTTTTGGGTTGACTTAAAAGGAGCTCCATTATATTTCATCAAACCCAATGCACATTTAATTCTCACAATTTCATTAAAAAGGGAGAAGAAAAAAGTAATCTTGAGCCGTAAATACTACTTAAATAATTGATCTTTGAACAGTAAATAATTGAATTATCCTTTTTCTCAAAAATAAAAATTATAATTATCCTTGTGAACTCAAACAGCTCACTTCCGTGCATACGTGTCTCTCATCCTCTGTCCAGACAGATTTTTGATGGGGAAATATATAAATTTCAATACTCGATTCTAGAATTCTGCATTAGTATCAACTTAGAGCATCTCTAGTCGTAAACCCCAAAACTGCCCCCTAAATGGTGGGACCCACATGCCACATCATCAATTTATTCACTTCCTAAAACTAGGGTCGACTTTCATCATCCGAAGACCGAAACAGTTGAGTTATACTTATGCCGGTGTTTTTACGATTTTGAGATTCTACAAGACCCACTTGTGGGAAAGAAGGATTAATTTTATAAGCTGAAAGTCAATACTTTTGGTGGTTGAAATCTTGAAAAGTTGTGGTCAATGTGTGTGTTATTTTATTTCATTTTGTATTTTTATTTTGGAAAAAAATAATGCGAGTGTTATTGGCTGGAAACCAAAGTCTTGGAAGTTGGTATTAGGACACCTAAAATCAATTAAGATTTGAAAAAAAATAAAGAATTGACTTCCCTGAAAATACTATTATTATTAAATTATTGATTGTTGTGATAAAAACCCCTAATTCATGTGAAATTGAAGATCCAAATGTAGTGAACATTTTTGCTGAAAACACGAAATATAAATGTACTAATGTTTATGTAAATAGGACAAAGAAATGTTCGTGTGTGCACAATGCTCAAGTGAATAGAACTCTCCAATTTCATTTATATATCCTATAATTGCAGCCTAGCTATAATTTATGCAATCCCAATACAATTTTTTTATTTTTTTTTTGTCTTTACATGGATAATTGTATTTCATAAGTCAAACTCAAGATATATGCATCTAGAATTGAATTATGAATAAATAATAAGAATAAATTTGAAATTTCCTAATTACGCCGATTTCGATCCGAGATTTTTTTAATTTTGAATATTATTTTTCAATCTGAATTTTTAAAATCCGACTTCTGATTTTTTTCGAAATTATTGGATCAGAATTATAATATATATTAGATCTCGATTTTCGATCAGATTTCTTCTTTGGACACCTTTAAGAAATGCGAAAACTATACATTTTTATTCATTATTTATTAATTGATAATATTAATATTATGCTCCAATATATTTTGTGTGTCCCAATTCTTAAATTTGATTGTTGAAGAGTATTTGTCAAATTAAATCCCTAACACGCTAAAACCTAAAACCTTAACTTTAAAATCTTCCCTATGTGGGGTTATTCATTTAAGTAATTTTTTTAAGAATTTTTTTGTTGCATCTCACCATAAAGAGATGGATTAATTTTCAAGAAACTTCAAGTTAAGATTTTAACATTTAAGGAAAATCTTGATTTGTACTTGTTCTAAAAAACAAATGGGTAATTTACCACCACCCACGGTAAGGCTTAATTACAAAAAAATGGAAAATTACAACCACCCATCGATTATGAATCTTCTTACATGTCCACCATTACAACGTCAAATTTAGTTGAATTTTCTAAGTTAAGTGGAATATTCTTCAGTTTGTACCCGTTTTACCCCATTCCAACCCCACATTTTGAAACAAGATGATCATAAAAAATGTCTCTTCGCTTGTAAATATCAGATTGTGGTGCATCAGAAACTGCATTTTTTTACAAAACGAGTACAAACTGCAGAATCTAGAAGATTCTGTTGAATTTGACGTCATGAGGGCGAACATATAAGAAGATTCATAATTTAGAGGAGTAATTGTAATTATTCAAACATAATGGATTTTTTTATAAACGACCTCTCTAGACGGTGGCCGTAATGTACCCAAAGCCCAAAGGGAAAAGAAACAAAAAATCTTGATTTGTAAGTCTGCTAAAATTGGGTGAGGAATATACTCAAGTAGATCCGGCCCATAAACATGGATGAAATTGGCCCATAAACTAGGATCATAAAATTGTCGAATTGGGTTAGGAATAAACTCGAGTCGATCCGGCCCATAAAATTGGATCATAAAATAACTTGTTTCCACTTTGCATCCTTAAAATGTAGCATTTTAGCATTTTGTACCCTTAAAAATGATTTAATAGCACTATACACCCTCAAAACATAGTAAATCATTTATATTTATAATACACCATGAATAGAATATTTAAAACGTAATGAGTGTAGTTTCAAATTTTATTGGTTTTTAAATTTCTACCCCGACATAGATTCGGGCGTGCAAAATGCATAAAAAAAAAGAAGTTAGTTGAAGGAAATATTTCCATTGTAGTTAGTGAAAATATTTGGTAGAAAACATTGGAAGAAAATATAATTTTCAAATAATTTGATTGGTGAGATATATTTTTATTTTTACACTTTCTAATTTCAAAAGGATTGATGAATAAAAAAATATGGTTTGACATCCTTAAAAAACACCAATAAAAATGTTAAATTAACTCGGAATGCATTATGCATGATTTATTACGTTTTAGGGGGATAATGTGCTATTAATATTTTTCGATGGTGCAAAATACCAAAAAAAAAAAATTTTCAAGGGTCCAAAGTGGAATTAACCCATCATAAAATCATAAAACTGTAATATTTACACTTTCCTTGCAGGCAATTGTTCTGTTCGTTTAAGGTTGTCGCAAAACTCGCTGTCACCTGCCTAATATCTGCTTGCTTTTATTTAAAAAATTTACTGGACAGAGTAAAAAATATATGATAAAAAATAACCAAACAAAACCAATTAATTAACAGATAAATACATTTATTAGTGTGTATTGTCTTAGCCGAATATTAAGCAGTGCAGCTCATTTTAAAGAGTAATAAAGATATTTTACGTAGAGAGAGAGAGAGAGAGAGAGAGAGAGAGAGATTTTTGGGAGGATTATCTGTCATTAATTTTTTTTTGGGGTCGGTAACAGAATTTAAAAGAAAAAGGTAAAAAAGAAAAAAGAAAAAGAAAATACCTTTTTTTTTGTGCTGAGTTTCTCGGGGTGGTGGAATTGTTCTGGATTTCCCGGGAAAATTCGAAAACCGGGGGCCCGTATTCTTGATTTTCCGGCGAAGCCCGGACGTGGGATTTTCAATTCTATCATCATTTCCCCCCCTCCGAATTTCAATTTAAAAAAAAGGGCTTCGCCGATTCTCGATTTTGAGAGCGATTTATTTATTTATTGTTTTACCTGTAAATATATATATCCCTAATTCATCATTCTTGAATTATGTCAATGTTCATCAAATCCTTCTCTCCTCTACGCAAGTTTTGTTTTTTCTGACAATCAAGAAATTCCGACACTCACAAATTAAAGATCGTGTTTTTTTTTTCTTTTTTTTTTCTGTATATATATACATGTAAATGCAGAGGATTTGACATTGCAATTTTTTAGGGTTTCTAACACGATAAAAAAATGTGTGTGTTGGTGGGGTAAGAAAGTTGATGAATTAGTGATGCTCTTATCATCCGACAAACCAGAATCAAGACCCTCTAATTATTATTATTATCCAATATTTGTGGGATTGTATATTATAATGACTGCTATGAGATTTTTGAGCCTTGTCGGAAATTCTTTCGGTTGTTCCGCATCGGGCGAGCGTTTGCTCTCTGCTGCAAGAGATGGTGATTTTCAAGAAGCAAAGGCTTTATTGGAATATAATCCTCGTCTTGCTCGATACTCCACTTTCGGTGTTCGTAATTCTCCCCTGCATTTTTCTGCAGCTCAAGGCCATCACGAGGTTTTAATTACGCTGCATTTTCGATCTTCGATTTTTAAAATCATACGAATAGAAGCAATCTTGGACTTTTGAGTTAAGTTGCAGAAGTTGGTGATTATGAGTTATGTTAGTAATGAGTGCTTATTTCTAAAAGTTGAGGTGTTTGCAAACTCGATAAAAAATCAATTTTAAGCAACTTATTTTAAGAGAAGTAGAAGCAGAAACTGGTATTGCAAACACTTCAAAAGTGATTTTGATCCAAAAAAAAAAATATCTCAAAATCACTTTTCAAAATCTTTTTCAAACACCACCTTAGTAGTATAGTACTTATTACATTGTTTTTTTTTGTTGTCTCCGTGTTTTTAGATTGTTTCGCTCTTGCTCGAGTTGGGAGTTGATGTTAACCTCAGGAACTATCGCGGGCAGGTTCGAATGTTTTGATTCTTGTTTTTCGATTTTTCGATATTTTCGTTCAGTGATTGCTCGTGTATAAATATCTAAATTTATAATTAGAATTATAATGTTGATGCGTTCATCGCATTTAGTACGTCCATGATGTATTTTTTTTTTAGCACACAACCCCCTAAACGGTGAGTTTTTAGGGGTTGGTTTGCTAAATTAATTGCACCACAGGGGTTTGTTTGCTAATATTTATAAGACGTGGGGCTTTTTTTAGTAATTATAGTAAAAACAGGGGTTCTGAATGCAATAAACCCTCATAATATGTTTTTGCTAATATTTTTCAACAGACTCCTTTGATGCAAGCATGCCAATATGGACACTGGGAGGTTGTTCAGACACTGATTCTTTTTAAAGCCAATGTACGATAATTTATAGTCTCGCTTCGTCTTTTTAACGCGGGAAGAAAACCGCATAATTATTTTATATAAATATATTATTATTTTTTTTCCGATTTAGATTCACAGAGCAGATTATCTGAACGGAGGAACCGCACTTCACTTAGCTGCACTAAGCGGCTTCTTCCAATGCATTCGTCTTCTACTCGCCGATCACATTCCCAGCACTGCTAATTCTTACCGAAGTTTACGGAAACGATCGAGAAACGACGAATCGGTTTCAGAGTTCGACGAACGGTACTTTCTTTTTTCAAACTTAATTATTTTTTTTTTCTTCGATAAATTAAGTACGATTTGTATTTTTAATTTTTTTGTAGTGCACTTCATGCAATAATCAATAGACCGGCCGATGGCGGCATCACGGCACTTCATATGGCTGCACTGAATGGGCACGTTGAAACGGTTCATTTACTTCTTGATTTAGGTGCATCGGTTTCTAAGATAACCGTGCAAGATGGAGCTACTATTGATCTAATCGGTCAGCAATTTTTTTTATTTTTTTAATTATATGATATTATTTTTTTTAATTAAAAAAAAATATTATTTTCAAATATATATTAACTGATTGATTAATTAATACAGGTGCTGGTAGCACTCCGCTCCATTACGCAGCGTGCGGTGGTAACGCACAGTGTTGCCAGGTCGTTATATTCCGTGACTCGAAAAAAATTATTTTCTTCATTTAAATACTTAAATTATTTACTTTTTTTTTTTGGTTTATATTCAGCTTTTGATAGCCAGGGGTGCAAGTTTGAGCAAAGAAAATGCAAACGGGTATTTTTTTTTCTTTTTTCGAGTTGCTTGATATATAATACATTATAAATTTAATTTTATTTATTGTCGTTTTTCTCTCGTGTAATAAATTAATATCTTATTACATGTGAAGATGGACGCCCTTGATGGTTGCTCGATCATGGCATAGAGATTGGCTCGAAGATATTCTTAATCAACAATCGGGACCCAAACGAAGACTTAGCCCTTCGCCGTATTTATGCCTCCCCCTTATGAGCATTGTTGGTATTGCTAGGTGGGGGGTAAAAAAGTCATACTATTTTGCGTCCGGCTTTAAATTCATTTTTTACGAATTTTGAAAATTTATTATTATCCTTCTCTTTGATATGTTTTCAGAGAATGCGGATGGAGAAACGACGACGCACAATCGACATGCGTAGACCCGTGCGTCGTTTGCTTGGAGAGGAAGTGCACTGTTGCTGCAGAAGGTATCTATATTTCTTTAATTGCTAACAAACTCCCCTGTGTTTTCTCTAATTACTAACAAACTCCCCGTACTATTTTATTAGCAAAATCCCCCCCTAAGATTCAATTTTGTTTAGCAATCTGCCCCCTAAAAACTCACTATTTAGGGGGTAATGTGCTTAAAAAAATGCAACGGAAGGGGCTTTTTTTGCTGATAATAATAACACCAGGAGTCTTTTATCAATTCAAAATAATACAGGGGTACTAACTGCAATAAACTCGCAGAAATAGATACATCGTTGTCTATTTCTGGATAAATTGCATTCAACACCCCCAGTATTTACTTTAATTGTTAAAAGACTTCCTGTGATACAACTATTAACAAAACCCTCCCTATGATTCGAATTTATTAGCATACTAAAAACGCATCATTTAGGGGGTTTGTGTGCTGAAAAAATGCATGTAGGGTTTTTTTTGCTAATATTTATAAGATGAGGAGGTTTTTAGCAATTCGGTAGACTCTAAATGCAATAAACTCTTTTATCCTACAGTTCAAATATGAAGAATTCGAATACCTTAAAGCAAAAAGAAAACATCAAAAATTGCATTTTTTTTTTTACAAATCATCAATATGCATTCACAAACAACTCCGATACTCGATTTTTTTTCTCGTTAAGACAAGAATCGTACTTACGTAGGTTGTCTCCACGAGTTCTGCACCCACTGCGCTCTCTATCTATGCTCCACTAGCAGCACCTCCACTGTAAGCCCCGGTCCACCTGGCTCCATCGCCTGCCCGCTATGCCGCCAAGGGATCATCTCCTTCGTCAAACTCGCCGGAACAAAGCCGATCGCCGCCAAAGAAATCACTAGGACAAAATCGCTTCCGGAACCTTCCCGAACGGAAACGCCACTCTGCGGGCCGGATATCCAGTGCGCACGCCTACCACTCCTCGGTGCACCTCTCCAATCGGTTAACTGCCATAACTTCGGATCCGGTAAATTGGGCCACGGGATCTGCATGGGGGCCCGTGAAACAAGCCCGAAAAATGCGGGGTCCACATTGGGGAACGGGCTGGTTAGGTGTTCGAAATCGGGGCTTAAGCGGTCGGATTCGCAGAGTGAGGGCAGGAAATGGTTGTGTTCTCTGATGCAATCCGTGCCACCTGCTGAAGAATAATTATACGAAAAAAATATAAACGGGTTTTTGTTGCGTGTTTGTAAATATATGATTAATCAGAATCGAGAATCGTTCTTTTTTCTTTGTTCGTTGGAAATTCGTGTTCGGGACTTGTTACGATAGGCGCATCTTCGTTGTAACTATGATTTGAAGAAGTGCCAGTTTTTATGTAAAAGAGTGTATTTCCTGATTTATTTATTTAAAAATGAATAATGAAATGTTTTTGTTTGGACCATGTAATTCCAGCTTCATCTAAGTGTATTTGAGAACACAAAACTTATTTATGTTACTCTCCTCTTTGTTTTAAATTAAACTCTAGATTTATAAATTTAATTGTTTTTTTATTATATCTCATTTTTTTAATTTCAGTGATACATAAATTACTATTTTTCTTTTTTTTTTTCATTTCTTGTAATTTCATACGAAACGGAACAAAAAAAACTGTTTTTTGGACTGTTTCGTATAGATTTACACTTAAGCAGAAACTTCAATTTCATGTAAATCTACACGAAAACAAACCAAAAATTTGAAAATTCTACTATTTCGTGCATTTTTTTTCTTTTTTGATTCGATCGTAAACTTATTCTATTCGATGCAATTTGTTATCTAAATAAAAATAAAACAATAGAAAATTCCCTGTATGACCCGATTCATTCAGACCGGATCCAATTATAACCCGGTTTGGCCAATCGAAAATCACGGCAACTCAGGTGAATTTCACCAGACCGATCAGCTTCCCCATCTCGCCGATCGCCGCCGCTAAACAAATCCAGTTATTCAGTAGCATAATTAGGGGAAAAAACAAAACAATGAAACAGAGGAAAACCCCCGTACTCATATCGCCGGCCGATGATGACGACAGCAACAAAAATTCCACATCCAAAAACCCTAGCCCCAATAATTCTTCGCACAAAATATTTCTTCTTTGTTTGGTTACTCGGATAATCAATTCGTTGTTCGTGCAGACGTATTTCAACCCGGACGAACACTGGCAATCTCTCGAAGTAGCCCATCGAATCGCGTTTGGGTAAATCGAATCTGTCAATTCAATTCAATTTTTTTTTTAATAAATTGGAAATTACTGTATTTAATTGCTGGATTAAAAAAATTAGGTATGGGCATTTGACGTGGGAATGGAAAAAGGGGATAAGGAGTTACTTGCATCCGGTTCTGTTTGCTGCTCTTTATAAAGTTCTCTCCTTTCTCCATCTCGATACCCCTTGGTTCATGGTAGTTATCTTTCTTCTTGTCTTTGTTTCGATTATTAATTTTTTGCATAATTTTTATATATCAATTCCCCACGTGAAATGTGTGCGAAATTATTGCCATATTGAAACAGATTAGGGCTCCTCGTTTGCTTCAATCCGTATCCGCTGCTATCGGCGATCACTACTTGTACGAATTATCTCGAGTCTTGTTTGGCAACAATGTAGCCAGCTGGGCTGTATCCTTTCGTTCATATGGAAACTGTATTTTCGGTTCGGTGGATTTGAATTTAGATATTTGTAGTACTTAACTTTTTTATGGCAACAGCTCTTTGCGCAGCTAACAAACTGGTTCGTGTTTTTCTCCATAACGAGAACTTTGTCTAATAGTTTAGAGACAGTTCTCACGGTTGTGAGTTTATACTACTGGCCCTGCTTGAGAGCCTCTCCCGCTGCAGTTCCGCCTCGTTCGAGAAAGCTTGCCTTGGCAGTGGCGGCATTAGCATGTGCCGTTCGACCGACAAGTGCAATCACTTGGATATATATTGGCTTTCTCGAGTTGTTTATTACACGCGATAAGCTGAAGTTTGTCCTTCTTGAAGTGGTTCCAATAGGGTTAGTATGTGTCAATAAACGCTTTATATGTTCTCTCCGTTGTTTCTTGTGCTTTTTGAGCTCTTATTAAGTTTGTTTATCTTGCTTTCAACTCAAGTTTTCACTTCAATAAGATACATCGGATTATGATTAAAAGTCAGCTTTTCAAGAATTATCTAGAATGAAATTACCATGTAAGAAGATCTAATACTGAGACTATAAACTATTTTTGCACTTTGAATGCTTAAACCAGGGGGCTCGTGCTAGGTGTCACGTTTTTATTGGATCGACAGTTTTACGGGTCGTGGGTTATAGTTCCTCTTAACTTCCTAAAGTTCAATTTTTTTTCTTCCGGCGGAGACTACTACGGAACTCATCCATGGCACTGGTATATAACTCAAGGATTTACCGTCATGCTATTTACGTATTTACCCTTTTCGGTAGCTGGTGGTATTAAATCGAAAGAATGGAAACTTCCTGTACTCGTAGTATGGGTTTTGGGAATTTATAGCCTTCTTGGCCACAAAGAATTCAGGTACTCTCTCCTTTGAATTTACACTATATACAAATACGATTATTTAGAGCCTATTAGTACTTTAATTATTAATGCTTCTCATTATATTCAGACTCCAAATATCAGGTTCGTTCTTCCAGTGCTTCCAATAGCACTGATGTTGTCTGGATATGCATTAGCAAACCTAGGACAATCCAAAATGTCCGAGAGGAAAGTGAGAGAGAGTTTAAATTCTCGCGTAAGGCGTTTATCGAAGATGCAAATATTGTCAGCATTATTTCTGCTTGTAACTAATATACCGATGGCTTTGTATATGAGTGTAATTCATCAGGTAATATTGGTCTCTCTTTTTTTTTTTAGCAGGAATTGTTCGATTTTTTATTTTTTTAATTTTTTTCGTTCACTCGTTTTTTTGAAGATTTTTAACTGTTGCTCTACTTCACAGAGAGGTACTGAGGATGTAATGAACTTTCTTTCGAAGGAGGCGAAAGAGAATAAAATCGAAAGTATTCTCTTTCTCACACCTTGCCATGCTACACCTTACTACTCAACTCTCCATCAGAATATTCCTATGCGTTTCTTGGATTGTACACCGAGGTGATATATATATATATATATATATATATATATATATATATATATATATATATATATATATATATATATATATATATATATATATATATATATATATATATATATATATATATGAATCGATGTGTTTTAATAGAATTAAATTTTGTATGATTTGGACAACATGGGACTCAAATTTTTTGTCGTAATTTGTTTAAACAGCGAAGAAAATGGAATATTGGATGAGTCGGACCGATTTTTGGAGGACCCGTTTGGTTTTACGACGAAGTTTGTGAGAAACTGGACTGCACCGAGCCACATTGTACTGTTTGATTCTCAAGAAAAGTTGTTGAAGGAGTTCCTAGTCTCGAATAATTTTTATGAGGTGATTATGATTTATATATTGTCGGTTCTATTTAACTCGTCTTTGACTGTGTTTGTCTGACCAAATAAACGAAAAACGTGCAGATAAGAAGATTCTTTCATGCCCACTTCAAAGTGGATCGAGAACTGCAAGCATCTGTTGTTGTGTATGCTTTTCAAGCCCAATGAGTTTTGATTTTAGACGAATTGAAATGTTTTTTCCTTTCTTTCAGTAAGTTTTGATGTTATTTTTTTTGTAATGATACAGTAATGTAAAAAAAAAAGTACTAATTTGACTATGTATCCCATTATTATTGCCCTAATTCTCTTTTTAAGTGGAATGCCAAACTCAGATCAAGGTATCCTTTATCACATACACGGAAAAGGCGATACGGGGAAACGGGAAAACGGACACGGGGAAACGGAAAGTGTAAATGTTTAAAGTATAGGGGTATATTTATAAATATGCTAGATAATCATACACAAGATTTATTTATGTATAAGTTCTTTTATAGATTTCCATACAAATATATTCAAAATATATATTATTATCAACTATCAATTTGCAATTGAAAATTAAATCATGTAAATAATTAGGGAACAAATTTTTTTTGAAATTTGGCCATTTCGAACATGTTTCTTTAACTTTTT